CCCCCCACCTTTTTTTTTTCACCTTGCTCTCTCCCCGCAAATGAAGAACAAAACAAAAGTCTGGCTGCAGTCGAGAGTAGACGCAAACTTTCCCTCTTTGCACATCATTTGGTGCCAAATAGAGTCAAATGGTGCGCTATGCATGGTGATCGGGAATGACGTCGGAGTACACAGGCTTAGATATTTGATGGAAGTCTATGGCCTGACGTCATTTCTACCATTATTCTCAGTTCTAAGCCGACCAAAGATATTATAAATAGAAATATAATCTCTTTGAAGCCAACTCGGCAATTGACACACCAAAACGTTGGCCAGTACTCTTATTTTACCAAGAAATAATGTTTTCCTTCTCACTCGCGAATCGAACGCAGGTCTCCTGCAAGCGACAGCAAAACGCCAAACCGCAGACGGCGGCCAGGAACTAGTTTATTTGCCAGTGTTGACACAAAACCCCAGCTTGCCTTGTCACTACAAGCATCATTCATAAGTGATGCATCGTGGTGAAATCAGGTGCTCGTCAAAATTATAAAAATCAAAGAAACTGGCGTTTTTCTGGCCAAAGGGGAATTTTGGTCTAATTTTGTTCTTTTTGCTCAACACCTTTTATGTCCAGTTCAAAACCCATTTCTGTGTGGGTTTCATTGACAGACATTGATTAAATGCACAAAAACTGTAAATTTTCAATTTCTAAGTACTCTCAAGCTATGCAAATTACCAAACTTAGGCGGCCATTTTCTCATAAAATTTACATCTGAAACCATGCGACCCTCACCTCTTTCAATTGTAAATATCTCGACTTCCATTCAACAAAGATATATTTTTTTTTCACTAAAAGCAAAGCAAATGAAGAGGCTTTTAAAGAAGATTCCAATAACCCCATATGTCCAAAAACTGACGAACGCCTGATTCCACCACTTCGTGCCACATATTTATAGGCTAATTTGTTTATTTTTAATGTTGTTTTTGTTTCATGGGGTTTTTTAATTTGTGTGTGAGTGTGTATGTGCGTGTGCGTGTGTGTGTGTGTGTGTGAGTGTGTGTATGTGCGTGTGCGTGTGCGTGTGTGTGCGTGTGCGTGTGCGTGTGTGTGTGTTGTGTGTGTGTGTGTGTGCGTGTGTGTGTGCGTGTGCCCTGTCGTTGTAAGAATTAAAAAGTTAAAAAGTAGTCACCCGCCCT